CCCCCCCCCTGCCGTTACAGCACCCTCGATGAGCGCTGGGGCAGCACGGCCCGGCGCTGCGGCTCGGCTGCCGGGGGGAGCCTGCCTTCTGCCACAAAGGAGCTCGCTCCAAGTGGAGCAGCTGCTCGGGGAGGCCCTGCTCCACGCAGTCTGTGTTCCTGAGCTGCTCCAAGGGCAGCAGCAGCTGTCCCTGGCGAGATGACTGCAGGAGGCAGCAGCACGCTGCCTCATCCCTGGCCCAGCGCCTCCTGAGACGCAGGGGACAAGGCTGACCCACCCCTCCCACCCTGGGCAGGAGGTGGGGTGTGCTTCATGCCTTAAACCTCTCCATTTTAAATAGCTAAAGCATCCCACGGCTATAAAGAGAAAGAAATCAACATTAGGGTTTTGATCCAAAATGTATTGCACCACAAATTTCATAGTGTTTCATAATACAATCCATATTTACAGCAGAGAAGGAAGGAAACGCGCTGGCCGTAGAAAGGGTTATGCATACCGCTGCTTTAGAGAGGGAAAGTGTGTCAGCTTTTCAACACACATACACACACCGAAAGAAAATGCAACACTTTGGAACTCGCTTACGGTAAGTTGGTCCCGTGTGAGCTTTGGGATCTTAGAGAGAAGTCGTGTCAGTCACTCGCCCCCAGGCTGCCTGTGCTGCCTTCCTCACCGCTCAGCAGCAACCGTTCAAGCCAGGATCAACACATCGGCATCGGCACCAGCAGAGGGACGCGGCCTCGAGTCCCACAGAACCAGGCTGGGGAAGGGACACTGCATTCTCCAAGGTCTCTCTCTTGACAATCTCCCCAGAGCCAAGAGGACGGGCCTGGCCCTGCTTTGCTTCCGTACAGGAGCAATCGACACAATGCCCGATTTCAACGAGGGGAGTCACGCTCTCCCCAGAAACCTCCCTGCGCCGTCGGTACGTGCCGCGGGTCACGTTACCCAAGACTGTTCGGACTTTAGTGCATGAAAAAGATCCCATGGGTTTTCTTAACTTGGAGCAGCGTTACCCCAGCTCCGCGCCGAGGGGCGTCGCTTGCGCCAAGGGAACGGCTGCTGCGAGTACCTGGGCTGGGGCCGACTGACAGAAACGGGGGAGGTCAGCCAGGCGCAGGCCTGACCTCGCGGGAAGGACGCTTCCAGCTTCACGGAAGCAGGGAGCAGCGTGTGTGCTCCACCCCCAACCTGACACCTCGACTGCCACCGCCAAGGTCGTTCCGAGCCCTGGGAGCAAAGTTAAACCTGGACAGTGACTCCCCTAGAGGCCAGGCTGAATTTCCTGGAGTAAATACATTTAATGAGTATCGTTAGTAGCACAAACCTCGCTGTAAGGGCATCGCCACAGCTGCAGCCTGCTCATCCAACCCCGCACACACCCAGCTTTTTGGACGCGTGTCCCGTTTTTGAGAAGTCGGACTTCCCACTGCTTCCCCCTTTCACCTGGGCTGCGCAGCGATCTCAGCAGCTACGGGCAAAATTGTGCTTCGCTCCGCGGGGCAAATGGTACCTCGGCCCCTTGGAAGGGGGGAAGGCAGCAGGCTGCTGGAACCAAGATTTATTCCTCAAGAGTTGACTTTGGCCCTCAAAACCCAACCCTCCTGAGCAGCGGTTCTTTTACCACGTAGCTGGGACACAGTTCAGCCCCACTGCATGTTCCTAACAGGTTTAGGCCTCACTGTTTGAAGTACAGAAACCCACAACCGAAGAGGCAGATCCTGGTCACGAACATCCGCTGCTAGCAGACTCGGAAGAGAAGAAAAATAAAAGTCAAAGCGTTCAGAACCAATATTCTGCCCCTTTTGTCACCAGATTGTTGGGCTGTTTTAAATAAAAAGTATTCCCCGTGTGCATTTACAATACCTGGAATTCAGCTTTAAAAATCTAACATGGTTTAACTTCCCCCCCTCCCAGCGCTAGAACCGATGGCACAGGCCGACACATTCGTTTGCAAGGCGACTGAGCGTTAGGTACTACAGTTAAGACCGTTTTAAATATTATTTTTCTTTAAGAAAAGTAAAAATCAGACAACTCGAAAGTTGTGCTCTCAAATTAAATAATCATCAACGCGCAGCCTTCGGGACTGCAGGCCAGGATGTACGCACCCTAAATTACACAGTGATATGAAAAAGCGAACCGGTAGCTGTGTCAGTGGAAGAAGGCAAGGCAGGCTGCGCTTCCGGTCAAAGCTCCCGCTCCCGTCCTCCGAAAGGCTCAACCCATCACAGTACTGCCAACGTTCCTCTCCACCCCGAGACAAGCTTTGCTGCGCCTAGAGTTACTCAGCTCCAGCATTCCCAGAACTCCAAATGCTGGAACCCCCATCGCAAGGGCTGCATGCGTGAGACGCCTGGGCTGCCAGCAGCGGTGTCAGTGAGGTTAACGTCAGCCGTCGGCGCCGAGGGAACAGGACGGACGAGCACGGGGAGCCGGCTCCCGTCAGCCACCGTGGAGACGGGGCTCCCCAGCCCAGCCCAGGCGCTTCGCTCCGTAGTGAAGGTTTCTCCTCGCCCAGCATTAGTTGTGTAAACAGCGTCTAAAGTTCTCGTACAAAATACTGCAATGACAGTGATTAAGACACACCTGAATTAGTGTGTTCGGCGTTCTTTTCACAGAAAGAAGTGGCTAGATGCTGACTGCCCAATTCCAGGTTCCCTTAAGGCCACAGCGTCCTTGGGCTCGAGATAGACGGCCGGATACTGCCCTTCGGAGCTGGCTTCGACCCGAACCACGACATCTAGGGCAGGAAAGCACAGCACACGTTATGCCAAGGTCACACTTGTAGCAGCTGAAGATTTGAAAGAGAGTACAAATGCTTCTTCCGTCATCTGATGGGAAGAGCTACTCATGAAAGAGAGCCGCCGACTCCAGACTGAAGTGAGGAGCGCTCCACACAACCCAGTCAGGAAGCATTTTCCACAAGTGAAGGTGACTGAAGAGTACACTTACAGGTATTCCTTTAAATAATTACAGGTTACAAATCTACGGGCATTTAAACACGTGCTGTATCTGTAGCCAACCTAGCAGTTCACTGTTCCCTGCACACAGTGAGGAAATCTGCAGACTGAACAGTTCCAGCTTCCCAAGAGCTGGACGCAGGGCACGGAAGGACCTGAGGCAGCACTCATTCACGACCTTGCACTCATTTATGACCACGTAGCCAGGGACATACAGGGGATCCCATTTTATGCAATGGGAAGGAGAAACAGATCTGGGGGTCTAAGCCCAGTGTCGAAACGACAAGCCAAGAATTCTGCTTGCTGCCCTGTCCAGCAAGGAGCTTCTGCCTTCCCTCCACGGACTGAGTCCACTGGGAAAGCTGTGCCCTTACTCCTCTGAAGCACTGGGAAGCATTTCCCTCACCGAAATGGACAATTTTTGGTATGTGATTAGCTAACATTTTGACAATAAATTACATTTACCACTGTAGCTAACTTTTGGAAAAGACACTTTTCATGATCTCCCAGCACCTAAGGATTTTTATCCGAGGTGTCCCAGAGTCCCGTCAGAGACCACAAGTGGAGCAGAACCCTTACCTTGTACTCCAGAGTTTCTTTAAGCATGTTTTCTTCCTCTTGTGAGAAGTTCAGTAACACGGAGACAGCTTTAATTAGATGGAATGCCTGAAAGAAACCACAGTATTTTGTTGGTTGTGATGCGCTCGGGCTCTCGATTCTGGACTACGGTGCTGCACCTTGTTTCTGTCGGTTTGGTCACAGACTTTATAGTCCCGACCACAAAGAGCGGACCAGCAGCCTTCTGCTCCCCCAGTTCCACTAGACTAGGATGGCCTGCACCTCCTCTTTGTGCTTCCTGGCTTTCTGTTCTTTGCCACTGGTTTGTGTGTTTTGGGGGAAGACGACAGACAGGGACTAAGTAAAGCCTCGTTAGTTAGGACAGAGGAGACTGGCTCCTGTGGCATCCTACTTTTTTTAAGCTTTGAAAAAGTTGATCAAACCAGCAGGTAGGCAGGAAAGAATCACGCTGTTTTAAATATACACTTCAGTGCATGAGCTCTGTAGTACTTCTTCACGGAGAGGGTGGAAGAGGTTGCCCAGAGAAGCTGTGGATGCCCCATCCCTGGAAGTGTCCAAGGCCAGGCTGGATGAGGCTTGGAGCAACCTGGGCTATGGAAGGTGTCCCTGCCCGTGGCAGGGGGTGGGACTCAGGGGGCTCTGAGGTCCCTTCCAACCCAACCTGTGATTCTAGTATTCTACACTGGACACACAGTGCAGAGTCAGTAAAGGAATCAAGCGCTCGGGATAGCATGGAGTTGCAGAATTATTTCTAGATCTTACCCACCGACTTGCAATTAAACACAGCATATTGTTGGCATGACCTCTTAACCTTTAACTTTTTTGACACCATGTGGAGAATGTGAAGGAGCTCCCAAGGCACAGGGAATTACCTCCTACAGATCAACAGCAAGTGGGGTCTATCTTTTTCTTGGGGTTTTTTGCTCTTTCTTAAATGTACAACTACTCTAAAAAGCATGTGGAGTATGTAACTCGAGTAGTGCAGAGGGAACGCCTTGTAGCTTCAAACTACCTCTTAAAAATTCACATTTCCCTTTCATTTAATTCATAATAATCTGTAATTCCAACCAGATCACTGCTGGCTGTCTGGCTGCACTGGGCTGAACCAGCCAACAGCTTTTTACGTGCACAAGTACGGAGCTAGCACAGACGTGTCCTTAGCAGCATCAGGTGGCAGCTCTAGAGACAGACCGACCCAGGAAGAGAAGGCAAGTGCACATCTTTACCTCAGATTCCCGGCAGGACATGAATTTTAGTACAACATGTTTAAGGTATTCAAAGTTGATCTCCCTTGAGTCATTTAAATCAGAGTTGTTTGTGACAGTCACAGAAGGATTAGGCACTTCAGAATTTGCTTTTTCACGTACTTCAGGTATCTCACTGTCAGGCCTTATTTTCTAAAAAAAGAAAGAGAAGCTCACTGTAGACTCTGTCGGTTGACCCTGGGAGAGGATCCAGGTCCAACGCACCTAACAGAGAGCTTGTATCCACAAGGTGGGTATGACCTGGGCAACAACAGGACAAGCTCCCCATCCCTTCTGGGATCGGAGCAGAGAAGTGGCTGCACCTCTCCCCTAGACTCCAGGGCCGAAGCTGGTAGCTGCTGGCGTTACGTGTCACCCAAACCAGCACGGAACTGGCTCCATGGTAGCAACTATTGCCTGGTCGTCATCTTTTCTCACTAACCTGCTCTGTGCCTTTCAAAGGTGGGCTTTTCCAAAACAACCGTCGCCTTTCAAACGTGGGCTTTTCCAAAACAACCGTCAAGCTCAACAAAAGTGACATCAGAGTATTTTAAAACCTCTGGTGATTTTTTTTTAAAATAGAAGAGTATTTTCTTGGAGAGGAAAAGTATTGCAGGAGGGATTAAAGGGAGCTTTCCCTGGGGCAGATACACTCCCACGGTAAAGCCTGGCTGAATGGCAGCTAAGTAGCCACCCAACCCCAGACATTCACGCTACAGAAATGAATTAAATGTCCAAGATTATCAAACACAGGCCTTCTGCAGCTAAAACTGCTACAAGAGCAAGAGCTGGGTGATGACGGCCACCTGTCACACAATCCATTCAATAAACAACTCGGAATAATGTAATTCCGTAATTTAAGAGTTCACCAATCTGCCTGCAAGCACAAGGAAACGGCAGACATCCCTAGTAATAACAATTAACGCTCCAGCTCGCAGTCAAGCTCCTGGAATCAGCAGCGCAATAAGTGTCAGTAAGCGCCAGTGGAAGAGACTGAAAACCCCCAACCCTTACCAGCTCCTTCTGGAGGGTTTTCTTGAGTTCTGTCATTCTTTGCTGCAGCTGCTTGATCACCTGTAAGCACAAAGGGCAGCGTTAACACCGTATTCGCTGTCAGGACGCGCTGTGACCCACAGCAAAACCCCACGGCAACCAACAAAACAACGCCGACAGCTCTGAAGAAGCAAGCCTTGGCTTTCCAGCTGCACACGTCAGCAGGCACCTGACAGGATACCTGGGCTTTCTTGGGGCAACACCGTGAAAGTAAACTGAATTCACACAAAAGGGCTCTGCAGGAAAGCTGTAAATGCTATCCTCTGGTGCATCTTTCCTCCAAAACAGATAAGGATTCCTACAATTCTGGCTGCAGCTTTTATCCACTGGTGCTGGATCCTTGCACAATCCAGGGGGAAAAAGAAATTTACTTGCAGAATACTGGACTCAAACTGGATCTGCCCTTTTCGTAAGCCTGTCCTTCTGAGGCTGCGGCATGGGCAGCACCAATTATTAGGCTTCCTAATTAAAAGGGAAAAGACTACCAGCTGCTTCTGCTCACCTTGTTTTTCTCTGCAATTTGCTGTTCCAGCTCTCTGTTATCCTTCTGAAGCTGAAGGACATCCGCAGCTGCTACCTCTCCATTCTGTTCCGCCACACGGTTTTCTGGAGACTGCAAATGCGTGTTCAAGGTTTTCGTCGATTCCTCTAGTTCTGAAACCTGTAAAAATGAGTGTGAATTGGAGAGATATCCTGACATCTGCCACTCACAAACACTCTCCAGGGAGAAAGCTAGGCTTCTTTCTTTGTT